AGGGGTTGGAGACTTACCTGTTCGGCGATGCATTTCTGATCCACTCTCTCTCTCTCTCTCTCTCTCTCTCTCTCTCTCTCTCTCTCTCTCTCTCTCTCTCTCTCTCTCTACACACACACACACACACGGCCACCGTCGATCCCCGGAGGTCGTGGTAAGTCGAGGGGGGGAGGGAAGAAGATTGCCAGTGGGGAAGAACGGTGCGCGGGGGCCGGAAAATACTGCTGTTTGCCCCCCCGACATGCACACCTCTCGCGCCCGCTCACTGTTTCCCACCCGCCCGACATGCACACCTCTACGGCCCGCTTGCTGCCAACCCCTCGCATCCTTCCCCTCCGCCCCAATGTCGCGTCCCGGTACTTGGCGAGCCGAAAGAACAAAACCAAACACAAAGGGCCAACCCCTATCCTTCGCCCCCGCCCCAATATCGCGTCCCGGTGCTTGCAGGCCCGAAAAAAACAAACGAAACTCTGAATACTCACCTCCCCCACCCCGATACGCCGTCCCGATACACGCGAGGCCGAAACGACAACCCCCCCGGCCCAAACCGACAAACGCCCCACCCCTCCGATAGGGCCGACAACAACGAAACGACAAATCGGCCTGCTACCATCCGCGTGGGACCGTCGGGACTGCCCCGCCAGCGAACTGGGTCTCACGTGGGACCGTCACGCGAGACCCCCTGTTTGCTTTAGAGTATTAGGGATTACAGTAAAAGGAAGTCCTAGTGTGAGTATGCCCTTGCTGGTTTCATAAGGAATCCACCTGATCAATCATTCTCTAGAACGGGCGTCTGAAATCCAGTAGGGAATATACCGGATTGGGTGTTTTCGGTTTTGTTTCTTTGTTTTTTAAGGGATGAGCCCCTAACATTGTTGTATTTACTATTTAATATTTATCTAATTCCAGCAGGAATCGAACCCATGATCTATGTGATTTGCCTGAAATATAAAGCTGATTCTTAAAAAATTAAAAAAAAAAAAAAAACAAAAAAAAAACATGATCTGTTTACTAACATTGCATGTCTGCACCCCATTCAACCACATGGGCAGGATGGATGCAGCATTCTTTGAAACTTTTTTCCTTAGTTTTTAATTGTCGCCTGTATGGAATCCCCTCTCTGTTGATTTGCCTGCTAGGCTGCTACTTTCCCAATGTAGTAGTACGTACTAAGGATTCTGTAATTGATTGGGGAAACAAAGGGGAGAAGGAGGTGTTGGAATCCAGTAGACGAGGTACGGGAATCCACTAGAAGAAGTATGGGAATCCAGAAGAAGTGTGGGAAGATGGATGGAAATCCAGTAAAAGGGTCTGGGAATCCACTGGAAGAGGTATGGGAATCCAGTAGAAGAGGTATGAGAAGCCAGTGGAAGAGGTCTGGAGATCCAGTAGAAGAGGTGTGGGAATATAGCAGAAGAGGTCTGGGAAGGGGACTGGGAGCAGAGATGAGCTTTTTTTTTGAATTGGCACTTCGCCCAACCCGCCCATAATTTTTAAAGCACAGCCCACCCTCAAAAAACAAAAACAAAAAATCTCAAGGTGACCCAACCCACCCGAGTTTTTTTTTGAAAATTTCCTCCCACACCCACCCCCCCGTCACCAGTAAAAAAACCTTCACCCTGCCCCACCCACACCCGCGAGAACAAAATTACCCGCCCGAACTCGGTACCTAATTATTTTTCACCCGCACCTGCCCATTCCCCATTGTCTCAGTCCCTTCGAACATTTGCACGCACCATAGCAGCATGACATCCTTTGAAGCATCTCTACCTGCGGAAATTCGAATTGCTCAACAAGTTTGAAATCAGGTAGGCAGGAAGACTTTCCAGCCAAGTCTCATTAATTGATCATAACGATATCGTGGAAATGCTGCACGAACCCAAATATATAAAAACAGAAAGCCTTCGGCCTTTATACTGAACCAAATCGAGCCCGGAATCCAATAAAGAATAGCCACAACGTCTCTAATCTAATTAAATTAGATTAGAATAGAATGTCGGTCGACCGTATATTTGAACACAGAACAGCTCCCTAGGTTGGATTCGAACCA